CCCTGCCGTTGCTTAAGCGGGATTTATACTTTCGCCTGGCTCCGCTTTGCGAGCCTCCGCTGACTGCGTGCGCACCTTTCCAAACGGACAAGGCTTATACTTGTCGCGTTCGCCGTTGTACTATTCTTTGAAACAACAGGGGGCGACGAGGAGTAATTGTTCTCTAAAACCATCGATAATCACCGGTGAGAAGAAGTCATTTGCCGGTACAAGACTTCTCGCGTGATGAATGTGTTGATGAATTAATAATTTCTTTATGTACAAACTGATTAAAACAATCTTAAACTATTGGCTTTATTTCGCATCAAACACAAGACAACTTTAAGCAAGTGTATAAATAGTATCTAAATGAATTCTAATTCTATTTTTATTCAATAAAAATAAAACGTACTTAAAATAAAAAGCCTTGGACAAACTATGCAAAAAAACTATGCATTGTTTTCCGTCAAAGCGTCAAAAAGTGAACTTCACATCAAACTGCTTCTGTTTCACACAAATGCCGGCACAGACGTGCATGTTGGGCTAGAATCGCCCTGAACTCGTCCATCTTCGGATGCGGAGCTGCGCGGAAAGTTACAAAAAATGCCGTGCACACCGCCAAGCGAAATGAGTTCGCGCGCACTCAAAGCAAACTTCCGCCAACACCGCGATGACGTCATATTTGCCGCGCGCACCCAAGCGAACTAGCGGACGCGTCGAGTATAAACAAAGACTATACCTTAAAGGGACTTTGGTATAAATCAGCCTTCAGCCCTGCAATAGTGCTTCCACAGAACTGGCAAGAAGGAACAGCAGACAGAGAACATTAAAGTGCCCCTATATGGGTAATGAAAGGTTCATATTTTGGTTTTGGGAGTCCCCAATAACAGGATGACATGCATGCAAGGTCAAAAAACACTTTCATTGTCTTATAATATGCATTTATTTTTATCTTCCTTGCTCAACGACCCCCAAACGATTCGCTCAACGATTAATTTTTCCAAACCCCGCCTTTGCATGACACTAATCTGCTGTGATTGGTCCAATTGGTCTCATTTCCATTTCAGCATGCCTGTATGGTGTGTTTCCACTGGCAAGTAGCGAGCTAAGCAGAGCTAGTGTTTTCAGTTCATTCATATGAAAGTTGAGCTTAAAGGGGTCATATGATGCGATTTCAATTTTTCCTTTCTCTTTGGAGTGTTACAAGCTCTTGGTGCATAAAGAAGATCTGTAAAGTTGCAAAGACTAAAGTCTCAAATCCAAAGAGATATTCTTTATAAAAGTTAAGAGTTAGCCACACCTACCTAAAACGGCTCGTTCTAACACACCCCACATGTCTACGTCACGATGTGAGAAGATTTGCATAACGCCGCCCAAACGTTCACGCAAAGAAAGAAGGCGTAACTTATATTCTCGCTGTAGTATTGTTGTTGATAATTCTAATAATAAATCAGCATATTAGAATGATTT